AGAAATGGGGGTAGGACTAGAGGCGGCTGCTCGAGATCCGACACTTGAAGTAGACTGAATGCGGTGAGAAAGGCCGTGAGCGTGTAGCAGTAGCAGCGATCTCATGGTGTGGCCGGTAGCGTTAGGATGGGGCCGCCAAAACGATGCTAACGTCCTGTCACGCAACGTTCACGAATGGCCTCGCGGAGCGTTAACCACGCGGAGGGTGCGCTAACGATTTTTGCGCCGACAGGGGATTGAAGCAGGCCGACGCGGACGTTGGTGGGTCAGGCCGAGTCACTTCGACAGGGCCTAGAAAAGAATCCTGACAGTATCCAGTCATGTCTGGAAGATATCACATTTCCACAATTCGAATCCACTACCGAGTACCGCCGGCCTTTGATACGCAACTGAACCGGGTTGGGGGTTACATGAGCTTCACCTTGCGAGCTCCACATGCCTTGTTTGATGTGCTCGTGCTTTTGCGACACCAGAGAAGGTTAGCTAGTGAATGGCTTGAATGTCTTGCAGAAGTGGATCTCGTGTAGAACGGCTGAAACAGCAGCACTAGACGTGCCGTTCTTCATCTCGAACCAGCTACTCAGTCTCTGGACGAGGAAGGCACACCCGTGGCAGGTACCGCCTGCGACCGTTAATGGAAGTCGTACCGAACACCATGCTTATGGGCATTCGTCGGCGGCGATAAGCAGAGCAGAGGAACGGACGGGTAGATCGAAGGCGAAATAGTATTCACCCGTGATCCGGCAAAGACGGCATTGGTTGACATACCCTCTGATCCGGCTGATCTGAGACTTGGCCGCACTGTATCCTGGTGAATCTCACGGTCAGCCGAGCCCACCCTGATGCGGTGATCAGAAATGATCTACGTGATCCCTTGTGGTGGCGTAATGGATCCGGAAAACATGCTCAAAACGGCGGGGAGGGAACAGGGTATGAGACACACAACTGGACCGTTCAATTTCGCCGTTAACCCATTGGGTTTTCTGCTGCCCCATTCGGCCCGCTAGATGGCCGTTGTTGCTCTTTCATCCGAACCCCTGCGTGCTGATGGGAAAAAGCGACGAGACTGAGGAAATTGAAAACGAGGGATGCTTAATGCCCGAAGAGGCCTAAGACTGCGACTTGTACCGTGGCGCTGTGCGATCGCAACTGAGTCATAATGCCGTGTTGCTGAAATCGTGTGACTCCACAAGGGGTTCTTGAAAGACAAATTGCGCTCTGGCGACAGTGGCGCAAAGGATCAGGTGTGATCGTGTGGGTAGACACCATCCTGGACAAGTCCTTGCTTTGATACCATCATGACTGAAGGATCACAGATGCTAAATCCTGTGGGTGGACATTGCAAGATAATCTCCGTTGTACAGGGAGCTTTGTATCTGAGCTGGACGCCTGCCACACCGAGCCAGTGGGGATAGGATGCGATGCAAGGCAAGAACAAGGCTCAGTGGCCAATGTAGCTGAGATACAGCTCAGAGCAGACCAGGTGTTCTCGAGCGGTCCTAGATGCCGGGTACTGCTGGTCTGCTCGTGGTATATTTCCAACCAGTCGGTGCCGCCTCATTTTGGTTGGGCTCATTTCTTTGCCTAATTTACACGAGTAAGCGCTTGTAGGAATCAACATGCCAGGGTATACCCTTCCAAGATCAGGACAAAACTCACCGATGTGGTCAGCGAAGACGATGCAGGTGCCAGTTGTCCGGGTAGTCACACAGAACTCGTGCACGGCGTTCTGGTTTCATATTGGAGCGAGGCAGCTCCCCACTCCAATACAACTAGGACATCACGCTCTCGTTGCGATGGACATACCCACAAGTGGATTGTTGTGCATGTCTACAGTCGTTATAAGCTGCAAAGCCAAAGGGATGTCGTTCCGTGACATCTAGGATGATCGACGATGTTGTCGGTTTTAGCGAAGGCGCGTGGCTGCGTCATGGCTTACAGAAGAAGTCCGTATAGCTCTCATCGAACATCACACTACGTGGGCGCAGCGCGGCAGATCAATGGAATATTTTTGTCTGCCAGGGCCAATGAGAAGACTTACGAATGGAACAGCCTTGCTGTCTCCGGGCTTGTCCTGCTTGGGCGTTTTAGCCGGCGAGACCCTGGAAAACGTCATGCATGGAGCAGACAGCGGACAGTACAAGGGCCAGCACAAGGTCAATTACCATGACCTATGAAATGCCTCGGGTATTTGAAGGTTGGTTGCAGTTCTCTGTCAATGCTGTACGGAGCTGTTGGTGGTGTTGAAATCTGGGATAGTGGTGTTGGAAGACACGGGGAAGGCTCGGAGTCGATGACGGAAGAGATGCCGCTGGAATGCCGATTCGTGAGAATGAAACGCCGAGACGATCGCTCGGAAAGCACTAGGGAGGCTCCTTGGAGTAAGCGTGTTCCCGCTGATAATGGATCATGATGCGGTCCAAGTATCGGTATCCCTGCCAGTCCCGCGCACCCTGAGACCGGACGCAGCAACCCTGGATGGTGGTCTTCCGGAAGATCATGCACCCTGTCAAGCATTTGCACCTGCCACCCAGACATGCTTCTCAGGCAACTGTATTAACTTTGGTTCGTACTCATACTGCCATGCTCAAGATTTTGCAGTCACCCAACTAGGTATATCGCTTGGAAGATTGAGCTCCTTCGGCATTAAAAGCCCGCGTGAAATCCAGGAGGGCGGTATGTGATGTGCAAGGCGCCCGGCACTCTCGCAGGCCCAAGCGATAGAATTTCCAAATTTCCATCAACGGAAACCCTGGAGTTTACGTCTGTGCCCGTGACTCTAAGACATCAGCACGAGTAGCATGCCACGGCCACACAAGTCCTCCTCTGCCGTCGTACACACGATAGCCCTGCTAAGCCAGCCCTTCCATTGTTCTAGCGAAGAAGAGCCACGAGATGGTGTTGCAGCGAGCTGGGAAGATGCTGTGTGACGTCGGAACATATCACGCGTTCTACAACGAGGCAGAAAAGAGATTGCACGGTAATTGGAATCTTCCTTTTGAGCTCTACGAGCTCTAGGTACTCGGCTTTGTCTGCTTGATCTACAGCGCCTCTTGCAGGAAGGCGCATGAGCAGGCGATGGCCGGCCGTGGTGGCATCTCACTCGCGTGCAGCGTGCTTCTCGAAGGCGCTGCTAAGCAAGGCAGAGAATTGCGTGGTTGGATGGCGGGAGGTCGGCTAGAGTAGTTGAGCAGATGGTGACAGCCAACGTGGCCCCCGGGATTAGCTGCATGCGCTTGTCGCTGATCGACCCGCCTCTTTCGACGAGATCCTCCACAGACGAACGAGGCCAAGACATGGGATAACGCCGCCATCCCGCCCTGGCGGCGCCGCAGAGACGTCGCCTGCTGGGGTCGGAGACGGTCGCTGCAAAAAGGCAACAGCCGTCGAGCCGTCGTTCTTGACTTCCCGCGCTTGCCTTTTTGCTGAAACCAATCTGTCTCTGGTACGCGGCCTAACCATTAGCTGGAGCAAGCAAACATGCGGTGAGCGTTCTCGGACCAGCGTACTGGGACAGGTCCTGGAGACGTCGACACGGTGCATCAGAGTGAGGTTGGGGACGAGTCAGCATCGTGACAGCTCTCGAAGAAAGCCCGTCATGGCGGTGACACGGCTCTGTGCGACCGGCTCTACCACAACGCAACAGGGAGTGCAAGACCGACGGGCTTTCAATAATTGCCAGCAAATCATCCCGCACTTGATGCTTCGCTTCGCCCAGCGGCGGCAGCCATGTGCATCACCGCAGACAGACCCTCTCTAATGCGGAACAGATTTTTAGGAAATGCAATCGAATGAATAGTCAAGCCAGCGCATTGGTGGGTGGCATTAAACAGTTTCTGCTGCAAGAGGCGCTTGGCTCGCTTCCTCAGCCAAACTCTCGCGGGACGATATGGTGCTATCGTCTAGTCGGCTGCTATGGCTTGCGACGGTCTCTTTTCACATAGGCGACATGAGATGGGTGGACACGGTGGTGGCTTCTTTAAAGTGTGCCAAAGGCGCAGCATCGTGTCTGGCTCGTCTCATATTTGTCTCTTTCTGAACCCCAGCATCGGCTGCAGTTCCCAAGCTTCGCCCCCTGCGTAATCCTTCGTCAGCGCGAGCCGTATTGTCTCGACGCCCGCAACCAGAAATACAAGCCGCAGTGGATCTCTGGACTCTTCGGAATCAGGTGGGCAGTGTATTCTGGTGTCTAGCAAGAGGACCGATCGGTACAGCCCTGGGACCGTGCAGACAAGACCCTTTGCATCGTCAACACCCCAAGCGCCGTCGACGGACAGCTGGCAGGACGCAGCAGTCGGCGACGTACGGCCTGAGTCGTCATCTGGCGGCAGCAGCGTGAGAGGATTCGGCGAGGGTTGATCCGCCCCGTTGGGAGCGTCGCGGACATTCACTCAATCCCAGCGTGACTGCAGCTTACCTGCTTCCGACGAGCCCACGAGGATTCTCCTCGTCAGGTATCTCCTGGAACGGTCGATCTGCAGTGCAGGGCGGCCTGTCCTGGCACCCTCACCAGGGCCCTGCTTAGGCTGTCCCAAAAGCGCTGCTGCGCCGGTGCAGCGTCGATTGGCACGTCTGGGATGTGTGGGCGGATCGCTCGGCCAAGGCACTACTACGGGGCGTGCACATCTTCACTCTAAACCTCGTCCGTCTGTCATCTGCATTGCCGTTGCAAGGGACTGAGCGTCTCGGGCTAACTCGAGTGGGACGTGGGCTTTTTGACAACGGTCCGCCGCCTCATCGCCCGCTCAAACGCAATTTGGACAGGGAACGACAGGCCCACTGACGACGCTACGGTGCGAACGGGCTTCGTGCTGAATCTCGCCAATCCCCTCGACACCATACTTGAATGCTGCAGGCCCGAATTCCTGGCTCTACATCTGCTTGTACCCGTCGCTCTGACTACTCCTCATCTCGTCATCATCACTTGCTCGCCCCTTCACCCACTCCTCCCTCTTCTTGTTGCGCAGCCACTGTTGTGACCCGTGACAACCACCTTCTCCATGGCAATGCATCTCGCCAGTATGGTACACGGCAGCGTTAGGGAGCGCGAGACGTTCCAACATCCGTCCTACTTCCAACAATCGCAGCCTCGCGCATTCCCCATGTCGGGTGTTGCCGCTTCCTCATATCCAGTACATGCTCCATCACAACCACAGCCACATCAAGTCGAGCAACAATACCGACAACAACAACAACAACAACAACCACAATACTCCCACCAAGCTCAACAACAACAGCAACAACAACAGCAACAACAACAGCAGCAACAACAACAACAACAACGGCCTCAGTCGCCGCCATCACCACCAGCAGAGGAGAAGAAGCCTTCACTGCCGTCAATCTCAAGTCTCCTTGAGTTTGCTGGCAATGAAAAGGCTGCGTCTGAAACAGGTAAAGACTCACTATTGCACATTCCCTCGCCAGCTCACTAACTTTGATCGTAGCTTCCCAAAGTCCTCAATCACAACACCGCCAGTCGTCATCGCCGCAACTAAGGCAGGCACAGCAGGGAGGAGCAGGAGCCATGCAGCAACTATCACAACCTGCCTACGCTCAAGTGTCTGCGCCGAGCAACCCAAGGATGACCTTGCCTCCGACACCGCCAATGCATCCAGATGTGGCACACGACGGCACCCAGTCCCCTTCAGCTGCATCGAACCACTCCGCTGCATCGGCGCCCTACTTCATCGGTGGCTCGCTCAACAACATGGAGCCGCACCAGCAACGCCAGGCCTTTTCCTCAATGCCTCCAATGAAGCGCGACTCACTACCATCGCACTCCATGTCCCCTTACAGTACTTCCGTCTATGGCCAGTCTCCCTATCAGTCGTCGCCAGGCGCTGCCTCCTCAACTTCATTCTACTCGCCTGAGCAGCATTCTTACAACAGCGCTGCCATGTATGCGCAACGACCGCTTCCCTCCAACTTCCAGCCTCACACAATCCCATTGCCAGCTCCTGTACCTAGCCCAGCTTCTAACGGCTCCAACCCGTGGCAACACCACCATTACATCAGCACCTCTAGCCAGTCTCAGTTTCCCCAGTCTCAGGATCGCTACATCTGCTCAACCTGTAACAAGGCTTTCTCGCGACCAAGCAGTCTGCGCATTCACAGCCACAGCCACACTGGCGAGAAGCCTTACAAGTGCCCGCAGCCTGGATGTGGCAAAGCTTTCAGTGTGCGCAGCAACATGAAGCGACACGAGCGAGGTTGCCACGCAGCTTCCAGTACTACCCTGACGACATAACGAGCTAAAAGCCATCACCAACTGTCTTACGCAATCGGCCTTGACAAGCCTAGACCTACCATCTAGTGGTCTACATCCACGACATGCTTTGTTCAGCCACATCTTGCCAACGATACCATTTGCACGCATCGGCGTTCTAGGCGTTTCCTATCGTGTCATGCATTTCACTGGAGTTTTTTTTTCGTATCACCAACGATATCCTATATCGCCATCAATTGCGATAATGTACGCTTATTTCGCCAATCTTAGTTTCTAGTCCGGACAGCATTTCGCTGTCGCATCAAGGCGCGTGGTATTAGCTCAATCAGTCGCCTTTATCTTCTTGTATTATAGTAGGGAACCTGCATGAGCAATGCAATGCTCCAAGATGCGTCAAAACCCATCAAATCAATACTGTCCACGAAACCAAGCTGTGTTCATGCTATTGCCTGTATTGATGTCGACTCGTCAGAGAGGGAAACGATGTTTCGCATTGCATGTCAGTAACCTTCCAAACCTAGTGGAAACTGAACACGTCAGAGCCACAATTGACACCCACACGACAGGTCTCAAGCGCATAGATGGTTCATGACGGGTTATCCATGTCGCACCTCTCGCGTAACAATTATTCCGTATGTGTCAGACACTCGCCATCTATCTTGATGACCTTGAAGCTGCTTGCCCACGCTTCTACCGCCCCACAGCAGTCGATGCATGCCCCGGCTTACCGCGTGTTCCCGGACTATACAAGTACGTTAACGATTCTCTGGGGTTTCGCAGATCGCTGTTCTCACTGGTGCATCTCCCGCGCCAATATCATGTTGGACAACGTTTATTGCGGTGTATTATGACCAGGGCTCCAGTCCAAGCAGACATTTATCCGCCCACGCTTTCCCAGACGAGCCATGTCGTCCTGTAAACGATACCTGCGGATCCCAAAACGATTGTCTACGAGGCCAAGTCTAGACTATCGAGGTTTCCCGCCTCGCCACGGTCTATATTGATGATCTTATGCATCTGCTAAGAGCAGCTTTTTCGTGAGTCCATCACTTACCGACCGTTGACCGTCGAGCCTTACTTCCCAGGGGGGGGGGGAGCGAACACATCGGAGCTATAGCTTGAATCAATCGCGGTGCACAGCAAGATAGGAGGCGTCGAGGCAATATCGGACCACTGACTCCTGAGCTGGGACATATCGTTCTCGGGATATCAATACACCTCCCAAGTCGCAAGATACTGCATAATGAGAAAGATGGCATGATCCCACACGCCTAGAGGGAGATTTTCGCACGTCGTCAAATGTTGCTTCTTCTGTTTCGAGGCATCTCCACGCGGCTCAATAAGACAGCCCCGACAGTACGCAGTGCACACAGCTCCGATATCCGGCTTCAATGCAAAACGGTTCGAGAAGGTCACATGTGGCTTGCCAACACAATCTGGCCATGTTCCCGCGCATGCGTTCCAGCACATGAACGCATGAGCTTCGAGCGACGATCGTCACTTAACTATTCTCCGAACCCCGGGTCGCTCATCTAACCATGTGGGATGACCAAATAACAAAGTCGTGCTTTCAATAATGCTGAAACCAACATTGCGGCGGCCATCGCAACGGCAACGGCTTGTTATCCGAAATCGTCGATAGGGTCTCCACCATGAGCAGACGTCAACATTAGAGTGAGGTCGGCTGCATTAGTTCACTGGCTGCCGTCAAAAGGAAAGCAGATGGTCTGATTCCAGACCCTTGTCCAATCGTTTATCCGTTTCGCGGAGGAGGAATCCTTCGAATCCTCTACAACGGGACACGACACAGCACAGAGCGCCAACACGCTTTGCCTCCCCGCCGAACGGCGAAAAGCAATAGCCTCGGTAGAGGCCCTGAAACTCAACAAGCAATTTCAAGCTCTGGTGCGCATCGATCGTAGAGTATGTGCTACTTGCCGAGTGTGTGATAGAGTTTAGGCGAAGGCAGCCGCTGGGCACTCTCACAAAAAGCACTCGCGGCATGGAGATGAAGGAGCGCCACCTCGTTAGCAGTTCCCTTGATTCGAGCTGGTACCCGGTTCCTGCCAATCGGGTTCTTGGTGCAGGTGGATCGGAGCGCCCCTTCAAGCCCTTGGATCGTGCTGGCGAGAGATCTGCGCATCATCTTGGTTTTGCGCAAGTGTCTCAGGTTCTCGTTCCATCTCGCTTGCAATCATGGCGCATCCAGAGCGAGGTGATTGATGATCTTGGCAATACGGGCGATACGATTATTAGCCATCAGGCACAAAGCCTCCGCCTACAAGTTTACCAGCCACATGGCCATCCTGTTGCGGCGCACCCGTTTACAGGAACGGTGCGCCGATGTATGCTGTCACCATGCGTCCATCAATTCCGAGAACCAAGAACCGATGCCCACGCCCAGCGGCGATCAAGGGAATGTATCGTATCATTTTGCCGTCACGACTGGTGCACTTTAAGTATTGGAGGTACCGAGAGAGGGGTCCCTTCGTAAACGCAGCCACTCAGCGCTCCTTCTCAACAACACCATCACCAATCAATGATTCTTTGCATCCGACCCAGACCCGCGATTGTTATTTGTGGAATGACGACCGCCTCCAAATAACACAGTCACTTGCGGCGCATGTAGAGTCTCAAGTGCCAACTTTTGCGGCCTTACATCGCATCACACGCGCCACTTGGTCGGATGTACGCAATCTTGCCATGGGCAATCTTTCCCTAGATTATCATCTCTGGGCGACCTGCCTGCGAAATTATTGCGAGATTGTTGCTACTGCCGCCCTACGCGGCCTTGCGCATACCACTCTGCATCATCAGCCATGATCCCTGCACACCTGACCTTCGAGAAGGAGGTTTGCACGGAATTATCCATATCACCGACCGTTGCCCCTCCTTCTGTTCTCCGCTACTCATGACAGTGCAAGCCAAGCAGGAACCTTGGCCTCGCACCCTGCCGTTGACCAGGACCCCTTCTCATCACCGCCAGCTCGTCCGAAATTACCGACGTGGTAGAGGAGAGCAGGTGGTGGCAGGCAAGAAGATTTGTCTAAAGAACCGCGATCGACAGCCGTCCACGCCGCCGCCCTCATGAGTCTTCAACTGCCGACAGTTATGCCAACAACGGCGGTGCTATTGTGGGTATCCATCGCATTTGTACTGGCAGCAGGAGCGGTGAGTATCACCCTCCACCATATCCAGCAACCACCCCAGGCCCATATCTGTTATCTCGGACATTAACACCAGCCTTCGAGGCTTCACGACACAGGTCAAAACGTCGGAGCATCCACAGTGTACCAGCATGCTGCCAGAGTCAGACACGCGCCCGCATCAGCATGACAGCTGTGATCGCCCATTTACGCTTGTGCAGACGCCCACGCCCACCCTTTGCCCGTTCGCATTATAAAGCACCACGAACCGCATTCTAGCGCCAGGCGAGCAAATGCTCCGAAGCTAAGGCTTCATGGGGAGTGATGAGACCGTGCGGACGATCTCAGATGGGATGATCCTAGTCTAGAATGACCGTCAAGGCTCGTCCCTGCACATCCGCATCCTCCAACTAACTACCTCTCATTTTTCTCCCCGAAAGCCGAAGAAAGGAACGTCTGAGTCAAGAACAGAGATGCTCTTTCAAGGGCCGAATCCTGGAAAGTACCATTGCGCCATGCCGCCATCGCCGGATCATCTTCGTACTTGCGACTCGTTCCGGAAGATAATGCTAGGACGTTAGGCACCGTCGATGATCGCCTCACTATAACTCTCGCTACCAAATGACGATTTCGCCGAAAAAGACTTTCGCAGAAGAAGCGATTGGGTTTGGCTATCCTGCGGGAACTAGAATCGCGCATATCGCGCAACTGTTTCGTGTGTCCCATGGTTCGTGTCTCCCTCGCGTAAAGATGCTTTACTGGCATCATGCCTGCGCGCAACGTGATGAGGATCAGATGACGGGTTTAGCAGGCTTTCCCTTTCATCTTCGAGCGACATGAGGCGTTGATGCGCTGGGATACACCACGTCACCACTCTAATCATCATCTTTTGGTAGTCATAGCGCTCGTAACAGGTCCTTGTCGGGTAAGAGTGACCGTGCGCATGATTTCGTCAACTCTGGGGAGTTCCTTGTCAACGGTCAGGCACACAATTTGACGAACACGACCGAAGTTGAAGAGCTAGGAATGACCCGGTTGTACTCAGGTACGCATACTGCCTAAAGGGCGCTGACAAACCATACAATTGGGCGACAACAAGGCTGTCTCTAACATGGAGGGAGCATGGTAGGTTTGCGATGGCAATGTTGAGTTGGCCATGGCGACAACATATTTCCCATCGTCGATGTGAAGCTGTCTTTTCCTATGTCGTTCCCCTCATCGTTATCCTTGTGCGCGCGACCACTTTGCGCCAGCGCACTCGTCTTCGACGCGATGCCACAATCATCCGGCGCGCGAATATAAGGCTGCCGGCTATCACCAAATGCGTATAATTACCGAGGAGAAGAAGGACAAGCGGGAGGCCTCGTAATGCATCCACCAGGTTCCTCCTGTTTACTGTAAGTACAGAGTGCAATACGTGGGTCGCGACGCATTCTTGCGAAGCTAGTCGGTAGGTGTACTGATAGGTGTACGAACTGAACTCGCCGAAGAGGGCTCGAAGGTGGCTCGAGGAGGATAGGCCTGAGAGTTGTGGTGGAGTAGCCGAGCAGGACTGAACTGTAGTCGATCGTTATTAGGATATTGACGAAAGTACGGCGGTTCGCGCGAGCCCACTGGCGGCTTAACAAAGGCTAGAGAAGAGATGTAAGCCGAGTCGGTCAGATTACCATGAAGCACGAGGCCCGACATAGACACTGAATCTTATTCCACGCGTATACATGTTGCTCAACCTCGTATAACCCATAGACTGGCTCTAGTTGAGGAAACCCTGGCCCATGGATGGTTGCATTAGTTGCAAGAAAACCTTCTTGCTTGATTGCTAAGACGTGAACAATCTTCCATATGATCTAATATACAATATGGTGGAGCACACTA